AGATGTGCCAGGACATCCCAACAGGGTAAGCCGGATTTAAAAGAAGACATGGAATGAGGAATATCCTTGCTGATGGCAGATAGATCTTGGGTAAAAGCAGAAACATTTTTAAAAAGTTTAATTTGTGTGTTTTGACAGTGCTGAGACGTGTTGCTGTATGCATTTTAGCAAATTATGGGTAACATTGTAAAGAACAGGAACCCACGTGACATAGGTGTCCGGCCTGGACCAAGAAGCAGTCCTTGAAACAGAACAAGGAACACGGTTCAATTTAAAATCGGGAAGACTGGGTTTGTGGTGTAGTCTATGTATATACGCTGAGAAGCTCTGCTGTGAAAAACCATGTGACATCAGAATTAGAGCTCCTTAACCACCTGCATTACACAAACGACACAGCCTTGCTTCTTGAAAGCAACGAAGATTTGAAACACTTTTGGGTGAACATCAGAGACTAGTTTTCAGTGTGGATTACATCTCAGTATAAAGAAAACAAAACTCATTACAAGGTCACTATGCAACTTAGAAAAGACTAATGATGCCTTGGACTTGATCTTAATTGAATCCACAGTCAGCACCCAGGGAAGCAGGAAAGAAATCAGACAATATATTGCGTTCTGCAGATCTGCAAAGTACCTCGTTAAAAGTGTTAAAGTGCAAAGGTTCGCTTGAAGGACGAATGTGTCCTTGATGGAAGAGGATCGTATTTTCAATTGCCTAATGCATATAAAAAGCAGGAGTGGATCCACTTCCTAAACAACATGCCTCTGGAAACTATGAACTTTGATAAATATCGATAGTTGTAGAGGGGCTTCAGGCCTCTTGTTCATAGGGTCGCTATGAGCCGTGCTCGACTCAGGCAATCAGCAACAGCAGTAATGCATAAAAATACTGAATAATGAATAAGCAAGACTGAAGAAAAATAGATGCCTTTGAATCCCAGAATATTGACTACATTACCCTGGACTGTCCACAGAACAGTCCATTTTGGAAGCACAGCCAGAGCTCCTTAAAAGCAAAATTTGATCTCATACACTTTGGACATCTTATCAGGCTGTGAGAAAATAAATTTGTGTATGTTAATTTTGTATGAATAAATGTATGTATGTTAATAGTTGTCTGATTTCTGTTAAAGCAGCCCTAGATAATTAATACAGAATTTTATACTAAATGAATGAGGGGCTGCTCTAGTAGATAATGACATATGAGAGCAACTTTGGGATTGGGTAATGAATAGAGACCGAAAGAGTTTGAAGATGCCTAAGAAAGGGTTTTGACTACCATCAGCCACAAAAAAGAATACAAGTACATCTGTCTCGGAGGAAGTGTAGCCAGTATGCCACGTAGAAGCAAAAATTCTTCCTCTCATATCCTTTGGGTTTATTGTCAGAAGAAGCCAGTCCTTGTAAAAGGGCGTCGTCCATGGAAAGGTGGAGGGTCAGCGAAATGATACAACCTTCAACAAGATGAATTGTCACAGTAAATGTGACACAAAGGATTTTGTGAGAATGACACAGGATCTGGGCAGGGTTTCGATCTCTTGTTTATAGAATTGCCATGAGGTGAAGTAGATTCAACAGCATAGAACAATTGTAAAAGCCTAGATTGCCTTCAAGAGACTGTTGGTGGAAATAGGGATCAGATGGAAGTGGGGAGAGCTATTAACACCAAGGGTGGCCTAGACATTTTTTACTGGAGTGACAGAAAGTCTGCTGTTAGGGACCTCTCTAAAGTACTCGAGCAATGGTGTCTCTCTGGAGACTAAGGTCCGCCTGATACAGGCCATGGTTTTTGCAATCACTTGTTATGCATCAGAGAGTTGGACAATTACTAGGGAGGATAGAAGGAGAATTGATGCATTTGAGCTGTGGTGCTGGAGAAGAATACTGAATGTACCATGGACTGCCAAGAAAACAAACAGATTCATCCTAGAGAGGATTAAACCAGGCTGCTCCTTGGAGGCAAGGATTCTGGGGCTTTGTCTGACATACTTTGGACATGTAAGGAGAGACAGGTCTTTAGAGAGGGACATCATGCTGGGTAGAGTAGAGGGACAATGCAGGAGGAGAAGACCCTCTATGAGGTGGATTGATTCAGTGACTGGGGTAATCGGGATGGGTGTGTCAGAGGCAATGCGATTGGCACAGGATAGAGCAGGGTTTAGGGCTGTTGTACATACAGTCGCTATGAGTCGCAAATGACTCGACGGCACATAACATTTTTTACTAGTTTATGTACAAAATTCTAATACATTGTTTTCAAGAACAAATTCTTTCCATTTCGCTCACACTCCCCCCCCCCATCAAATTGTACAACCCTGTGATTAGTCTCCCCTCCCCCTGCACATCCACATCCCTTTGCTTCCACCCTCTCCCACCACTCTTGGATCCTTATACTCATCCTACAATAATAGTTTTATACAATATTTGTCCTTACGGGACTGAGTTAGTTCACTCAACATAATGCTATCCAGTCCCCCCCAAGTTAGGTAATAATTTACAACAGGGCAGCAAGTAAATAAATGTTGGAGAGGCTGTAGCGAGAAAGGAGCTCTTGTACATTGCTGGGATTGTAAAATGGTGCGACCATTCTGGAAGGCAATTTGGCACTTCCTCAAAAAGCTGAACATAGAAATTCCATATGACCCAGCTATTCCACTACTTAGAATATACCCTGAGAAAATGAGAACCGAGGCACAAACAGAGACTTTGTACACCATTGTTCATAGCAGCATTGTTCACCATCACAAGAACATTTAAACAG